TCATATAATTAAAACTAACGAAAATATTTTCCATTTTAGATCTAGGTAATTATATATATATCTGTGTATAAAAAAATCATATATTTCATTTTATATTATTTTAATTATTTTGTGTATTTTTAGGTAGGTGGTATGTCCAGTGCCTTTTTTCTGGAGCTATTGATACGACTCTATTTGACACCGCCTCTTCTGCGACTAATAGTACAGAAGAACATTTTGGAACGTGCTGCTGGTGTCGGCAACGAGATTGGCGTTCATAATCCGGGTCCTCTAAAACATTGCCCTCATTATTTAAAGATTCATCAAGCGTTTAGACGCGTTCATGTTTATATAGCAATGGGAAACATGCTGACTATGGGATGTACGGTGTTACATCTCCACTACATAGCTAGTAAATTATGTGTTCTTTAAAAATCAATCCTTTAAATGATTCTGAAATGATTATATTCTACTCAATATATTCATGTTCAAAATTCTCCAAGCACGGAGCGACTGAAGCTCCGCGAGCACATTAACGAGAGCTAATACTGATCGTATTCTCTGCTTCTGTTGTACGTACAAGAAGTATTTAGTGAAGATATCCATTTGCATTTTTTAGAAGCAAAAAGAGCAAGTTATCAGGCTGATGAATGCAGCTATAAAACACGAATTGAGTACTCTGAAATACGTTTAGAATTCTCTAGATATTATGTACAGGAAGAGTGAAAGTTTAATCTATATTCTTATAGGACGAGCTTTCAGTAATTTAGGCATCATAGTATCTCCTGAAACGAAAAACATGACTCATTAATTTATTACTAACGCGATGCATTAATTATAATAAAAATGTAACGATGCACGAATGACGGTAAACGTAACTCTTTTACGTTTATTGTTTGATCACCTAATTTTTTATTTGTTCCTTTTTCCCTGAAAAAAGTTTAATGTGTATGTTTGCGGATCGTGTGTGTGCTTCCGATTAAAATATCAGAGAATCACTTGATCTAAGGAACAAATAAATAAATCGTGAAATTAGTGAAAAAAAAAAAACAAAATGTACACTTTAGATTTAGTTTAAATGTGATAAAATATATTAT